GAGCCCCCACAGCCCCCCTGGCCAGCCTGTGCCAGGGCTTGGTCACCCTCAAAGTCCAGAAGTTCTTCCTCATGTTCAACTGGAACCTCTTCTGCTTCCGTTTGTGCCCATTGCCCCTTGTCCTGGTGCTGGGCACCACTGAGAAGAGTCTGCCTCTGTCCTCATGACACCCACCCTTAAGATATTTGTACGTGTTGATGAGATCCCCTCTCAGTCTTCTCTTCTCCAGGCTGAACAAGCCCAGCTCCCTCAGCCCTTCCTCATAGGGGAGATGCTCCAGTCCCCTCATCATCTTTGTAGCCCTCCTCTGCTCTCTCCCGTAGCACCTCATCTTGGGGAGCCCAGAACTGGACACATGACTCCAGGTGGGGTCTCACCAGGGCAGAGTAGAGGGGGAGGAGAACCTCCCTTGCCCTGCTGGCCACGCTCCTCTGAACGTGCCCCTGGGTGTTTATGAGAAAGCAATCCATAGGCACATTTTACAGCACTGCCACAGTGGTTTTCATTGGAATCACATGAAAAATAGGCAAAATGTGAGATACCGGTTAGTTATGCATTCATTTAAGTGTATTTGCTTGGGTTTTAACGGCCTGGTTTGGAAAAGAGCTATGAGCTGACCTGGCCCAGTCCTTCCCATGAAGCAAGGAGTTGGACTCAATGATCCCTATGGGTCCCTTCCAACTTGAGGTGTTCTATGATCAACCCTGTCTGACCCATCTCAGGGGGATGTTTGTCCAGCTAGGCCTTCAGGAGCTGCCACTGCAGGAGAACCCACAGCCTCCCTAGGGCGCCTGTTCCTGTGCCAGGCTGCAACACGTGGTGACCAAAGCTGGCGCCGGGCATTCACTGGTGCAGCAGAAGGCACGGTCAGTCAAACTTCCTGGTGGTGAACTCCCATGGGAATGGTTCATGGAAGTTTTATATTGACTTCCAAAATTCTCAGCTCACCCTGTTGATCTCTTCCATGTATTTTTTTTCCAGCAGGGGAGGCAGCCGTGGAGGGTTGACCACCGTTCAGTGCAAATAGCTCTGTGACCAGCACCCACGCGTTTTCTCGAAAAATTCATGTTTCTTCCTTGGTCTCCTTTGCCCTAAGCGATGTCGTACTTTGTCCCCTGTCATTGATTTATTTTTGGTCAGCAGAGCGAGGTGGTTGAGTGCTTCTGGAGGCAGTAGGCGGTGTGATTTGGGCCAGCAGCAACCAGGAGCAGCACAAGACGTGCCCTGGGAACTGATGTACTGCAACAGTGGCCCCTCACTGGGCTGGGAGCACAAGCCTTCCTGAGCTTGGTCAGTCATTTTCTACCCAGTTTTTGCTGACCAGCTATTACAAGAGCTTCATCCCAAATTTTGATTGAATCAGTCCTTAATGGAGCTGTGATATAATCAGTAGAGGCACAGCGTGCATGCTTTCTTCACACAGAGCTGTGCCTGTCCCCAGATGTGCTTTCTGTAAAACACACTGGCAGCACAGCAGAGGGCTCAGGAGTTTGTGGGTTTGTTTAAAGACCAGCCATTCGCCCAGCGCTGCCTCTGCCTGGCGGGGGGCAGCTCAAAGCTGACCACCTGAGTCCTTGCCTTGGGTTGTATCTTCTGCCGCAGTGCTGGGGGCTGCTCCTTATGTCTAAGCCCAGGGGGCTTTTGGGTGCGGGAACAGCCTGATGGTCCTTGTTCTGAAACTAAACCTGAGCTGGTGTCAGCAGGACCTCGAGGATGGTGTGAACCCGTTAATGGCATCCACGCATGGCTGTGCAGAGGATACCAACCTGCTGCGGCTGGGCTGGAGCCTGCTGTGTTGAGTTCTTACGTAGTTCATCGTGTCCTCCAACCCTTATGTGCACAAATCGATCCCATCTCTTCAGCTCTAAGGTACTTCTGCAGTGAATCAGAGGCAATGAAGCAGGAGGCTTCACGTCGTGCTCTCAGCTCAGACAGCATTGTCATCTCGGCCTGCATTGGGCACATGGTCGGCTGGAGCTTTGCACCCTGCTGCTGTTACGCAGTTTCAGAGGCCGCGTCTTGCTCCTTCTCTGCCGGGGGCTGCGGTAGCCTCTCTGCTGCTGGCTGGAGCCGCATGCTGGGTTTGCCCACGAGTCCCCGGGTGGGCCCAGGCCCAGGCCCTCCCAGGGTATGCACTTCTTGTCAGTAGCCGCGAGAGGGGGCACTGAGCTTAAGACACTGTTTTTGTGCAGGTCCTACCACAACTGCTTTAAGTTGGGAGCGAGAACCCTGTTTGGCCTGTCAGATCGCAGTAGGTGCCTCGGTGACTTTCTGTTTCTGCCAGGCAAAACCACAAGTGAGATCCACAGCGGAGTTCAGGTTGCGCTACCTCATCCTAGATTTGAGCATGGAAGAGGAGGGGATGTCATGGCTGGCAGAGGCAATGACAGTGGGGAGTTACTGATTGCTGCCTGAGGAGGGAAGCGGTGAGAAAGCTGCCAAGGGCGAGCAGCAGAGGAGGAGATGGATGGGCACTTGGCTGTCCCGCTTCGGTCGATGTGAGCTGTGCTGAGCACGCAGTGTGCTGGGTTGTGCCCCAGCAGGCGCCGGACTCGCCTGGTGCGGAGTGGTTGGTGCCCAGGGGTCCTGTGGCACCGCGGTGGGATGGGGACGGGGATGCTGCAGGACCGGCCCCAGCTGCTGCTGCCTGCTCCGTCACAAAGTGCTCACGCCGATTGCTTGGTTGGAAAGCCTGAGAAGTGGAGCTATGTCTGAGCGTGTGTGTGTTTAAAGGCTGTGATTCAGGGAGGCCAGAAAGGGAAGAGGTCAGCAGGTCATCTGCATGCCTGTCCTCTGTCTGCTGGCCTGAGCCCAGCCATCAACATGTACCACCCAGAAATTCAAAGCACTTCTGCCAGGGACAAATTTGCTGTCCTATGGGCCCTGGCCATGGTGGATGGAGCTGTGGTCTGCCTGTGGCTGTTCCCATTTCTACAGTCTGTCTTCCTGAATTTGTTGGGACAACGGGAGACAGGGAGAAGAAGTAAAATTGCATCTGTCCTCTTCTCCCCACAACTTGCTGGAGGGAGCTCTCCTAGCTGCCGAGGAGCAAGAAAAGCAGCCTTGGAGAAGTTGCCACCCATGGAAGCTGTGGGAGCAGCGTGCCCCGGGAGGCAGCCAGCCGCATGGAGTAAGCAGGGGCTGGCACCTGCAGTGGTCCCTCTGGGTCTGCTTGGGCAGGAGACAAGAGGCGGGAAGAGGTCGCAGAACCATAGAATCATGGAATTGTTTGGGTTGGAAAAGACCTTTAAGATTATCAAGCCCAACCATTGACCTACCACTGCTGTTCCACCCAGACGCAGGGGGGAGAGGTAGGTGTCTGGAGGCTCTCGGGAAGCAGGGCAGCATTCAGTGTGCTCCTCCCTTGTCCGAAGGGGTCCTGAAGTGCCTCCACTTACCATTGTAAGCAGCGTTAACATCTCAGTAAATAAACTGCAGGAGCACTTCCAGGCTGTGCATGCATCATCACAATGTTTGTCTGAGGCCAAAGACTGTGGTGAAGAGAGCTGGAGATGTGTGGGGAGGTGAAGGGGAGGAGGAGGAGAAGGAGGAGGCAGGAGCTGGAGAGGGACCTCAGGGAGAGAAAAAAGAACCCAGAGGGGTCTTGAGACAAGGCTTGTAGAAAAGAGGGAAGAGGAA